AGGGCGGGGCGGAGGGGCCCGCCGGGGCCGGGCACCCCCCACCGCAGCTTCCCTTGGGGGTGCCGGGCTGCATCTGGGGGAGGGCCGGCTGTGGGGACCTGAAATTGGGGCAGGGGACCGTGGCAGCACGGAGCTGAGCTGTCCGGTTCTGGAAGCGGCGGGCAGGGCATAGTCTGTGCTCGAGGCTGGGCTTTCAGCTATTCCCACTTGACGTATGAGACAGCGGTGCAGGCCAGGCCCAGGTGAAGCCCCCCAGCACACGCACGCTGCCCCGTGTTGCCAGACACATGCGTGAACATCCGTGTGGGGCATCGTCGGGTGCGTCCTTCCCAAGGGGCCCAGCGCGGACAGATAGGGCCGGGCAGTCCCTGATTTCTCACCCCCTTTTAGCGCAATGCCTGGACCTGGTCTCCCAGTACGTGCAAGGACACAAAGGCCTAATAATTCAGTTCAGCAACAAGCAGAAGTTCCAGCTGCAGCTGGGCAGCCTGGACGAGACCTGCTACGCCGGGATGGAGTACATGCTGACGGACTGGGCCCACCTCTACCTGCCCTCGCCCACCCGCATGGTGGTGCTGGGCACCGTGGACAACGTGCCGTGCCTGGCCATGGGGCAGCAGCTGGTGATCCTGGTGGCAGCAGATGGGGGGGTCTACACCTACGAGGAGGAGAAGCTGCACAGGCTCAGCAGGAGCCTGGAGCAATTCCTTCGCAACGGCCTCCTGCACTTTGGCGAGGAAACCTATGACTGCGCAGAGGGCCAAGAGCCACTGGTAAGTTGGCATGGGGCCAGCGGAGAACGGGCAGCTCCTGCCTCGGGGAGCAAGGGAAGGTCCAAGCACGCAATGGGCACCGGCGACATCCCAGCCCGATGTCTGCAGCAGCTGTGGACACGCTCTGCTCCAAGATCTTGGTGGTTAAGTGGGGCCCAGGCAGTAGTCACTTGCTCTGGGGAGGGGGCAGTGGCAGCTGCCAGGGCCTGGCAGAACGAGGAGCTGCCTGTGCAAACGTACTGTGGGAGCGGGAGTGGGGTGCTCTGTGTCCCGGGGTCCCTATGGAACAGCTTCCGCACACACCCATGCCTGCTCTAACTGCTGCGCCGTCCCTCTCCCGGCAGAGTGAGGAGGAGCGTGCCAAGCGCCCGGAGCTCCAGTGCATCAGGCAGAGTGCCCAGCACTTGGTTGAGAGCGGAGCAGGGGAGATGGGCAAGCTGCTGGATTTCCTGGAGAGTTAGTGGTGGTTGCCACTAAGGGAGCTCTTCTGCAGGACAGTGTCTGAGTCCAGGCAGCATATGCTGTGGTGTGAGCACCCTCACAGGGCCTGAGTGTGCAGATGGGTGAAATCCTGGTGCCCCATGCAGGGCGGTCTGTGCTGTAACCATGCCCGCGAGGGGGACGTGCATTGCTGGGGGTATGCGATGCACTGCTGGACTGTTTGCTCTGATTCCTCTGGCTGGCAGGTCACCAGCCCCATGCTCCCGAGGGCAGGCAGAGGGGATCACGCCCCTGCTTTCTCACAGGGCAGCAAGCACCTGGAGTCCAACACTCACAGCTTCCAAGAGACAGCTCCCTGGGCCCAAGGGGAGAGGTTCCCTGGCTCCAGGCCCCCTCCCTGGGAGGCTCACGTGTCCTAGACGCACACACTCCTGTGAGCTGACCTCCTGAGGGCCGTCAGCCGCTTCAATAAAGATCCGTGTAGCCTGAGTCCAGTATCTTTGCTCCTCAGCCTGAGTCTCAGGCTGCGCGTCGTCCTGTATGAGGAAGGGATCGGGGGTGGGCAGGGGCGCCTGGTATGAGACTCTGAGGCATCCAGGCCGTGGAAGCTGCCTGGTTCAGCAAAAACAAGCTGTATGCGCTTGCCCAGTGGGAACGCACCTGCCTTCAGCAAGGACTTGCAGCACCTGGGGGAGCATCAGTCACTACGCTGTCGCTATGCTCGGCATCCTGGCTGCAGTCGGCCCGAGCACCGGCAAGGCAAGGCGCTGGCAGCCAGCGGGGAAGGGGCCAGCACGGGACTGCATCCACCAGCACGTGAGGCCTGTTGCAGACAGCCTGCAGTGGAGGTTTAAAGGGACTGGGGGGGAGCAGGCCCATGCAGTGAGCGGGTAACACTGCCGCACAGCTGAGAAATGGCTCGCCCAGCTGGTGAGTCTTGCTGCTGCCTGCCACACAGCTGTAATCCAAGTCCTGCTCTGGAGTGAAGCCCGCATCCAGGAGCCAGCACCGCGAGGAGGCTCCATTGCTGAAGGATGACCCTTGGGAGGGTCCTGAGTGAACAGCAGGATGTGCACCTCTGTTCCTAGAGCTGCCTGGGGCGGCCCAGCTGTTCCTCAGTCCCAGCACCCCAAAGCATTGCTGTCTGGGAAGGGCAATGAGGTGTCTGTGGTTCTGTTTCTGGGGACAAGGCTGTGCCAAGTCCTTCTTGGACCCTTGTGCAGCACTCAGGGCCGAGTCTGGCCGCCAAGGGCCACGCTGGGTTTGGTGTCCGTGCCCGTGTCCCTTTCCCTTGCAGGGTGCAGCCACACACGCAGCACTTGAACCATTCCTGCGTGGCACCACAGTGCTGGATCACCACGGTGTGAAGTGCTGTGGCCTCGACACCAGTGTGCAGGAGTGAGCCCAGCACGGCCTGCCTGGCAGGGGGAGCCCGGGGCCCTGGCCTGTGGCTGGGGTGTTCCCGCTCTCCTGCCTCCCCTTATCTCCTAAGCTCGGGACACTCAGCATCCTGCTCCTTGCTCCCACTGGGGCAGAGAGGGTGGAAGACACGGACAGCTGTTAGAAAGGATGTGGACGTGCCCAGCCATGGCCTGGCAGCTGCAGCCCCTTGGCCTGTTCCTCTTCCAAAAAGGCTCCGCACCTTGAGAGCTTGTGTCCTGGCCAAGACGGACAGCCCCGTCCCCAGGGTGGGGCAGGGGAGCACCAGCCAGGGTTTCACACCAGGGATGCTTGGATGACAAAGACACGTGAGCTGGTGGTTGGGCTGAGCTGAGATTTGGTCTCTTGTGGTACTCTGAAGTCCACCGGCGTTCCTGTGCGGTCGTGGCTCTGGCTGTCGGCCGCCCAGAGCCCTGCTGGGAACGGCAGCACAGAAATCTAACGAATCCATAAAGAAACCTGCCCAAAGCCCCCCTGCTGCTTGTTCTCTTTGCCGGGACTTGAGTCGACAGGGCTCGCTGCCCTGCCCTGCAGCCATCTCCCACATGCATGCACGAGAGGGGCCATGACCAGCACTGGCAGCCCCGCGTCCCACCCCAGCAGCTCAATGGAGCACGTGCCCTGCCAGCTCGGTCGGCTCATCGGATGCCGTGCCATGGTTGTGACCCTGGAAGGATCAGTTCTGCTGCGGCCTGGAGGCCAAATCGCCCTGAAGCCAGCTGGGGAGCTCGTGCCACCCCGCCCCCTTGGGAACCAGGGCCGTGCTCCAGCCTGCGTGGCTGAAGCCCTGGTCCAAGGAGCAGCCTCCTCGCTGGCTGCTCTCCCCTGGGCTCCTGCCCTGGGAGCAGGGTGAGCGCAAGGCTGCTTGTTCTTCCCCACCCCACCTGCCCAGCAAAGCATTTTCCCCAGAGAAGCAGCAGCAGGAGAAGGTGCCTTTCAGCTGGACGGTGAGGCTGTGGGGAGGCTCCCCGGCCGGGTTCGGGACGAGCTCCCCATTGTGCGAAGGGTCGCTCTGGAGACGCCTCGCCTGGTGCTGAGAGCACAAGAGCTCAGCTGCGGGGAAGAGGGACAGGCTGAGCTCCTGCCACCCGGCCCAGGCCCTGGGCTCCATGCACCAGCCTGCACCCCTGCACGTGTGCTCGGACTCCGAGCCAGCGCCATGTACACTGTGTTCCTCGTGGTACAATCCGGCTCCACCGTGGGATGTGCCTCTGCCCTATGTCCCCAGGACCCCCGCCACCTCTGCCTCGGATGCCCCGAGCAGCCACAATCCCGCCTCGGTCGCCTCCAGCCTGGGCGGTCGCACCCCTATTGCTAGGGCCATCCTGAAGGCACCAGCACGTGCTGCAGCCACTGCCCGAGCCACAGGGCAGCCTCACAGCAGCGCTCCCAGCTGCTGCAGCTGCCCGATAAGGGGTTCGTGGCTCGATATGGGCTGCCGACAGCCTCGGCCTCTACGCAGCACCGTGTCATGCGGCCAGTCCTGCAGCCCCCTCCTCTGCCCAGGCAGGGTCTGGCTCGCCCAGCCTCCAGCCTGCCTGGCAGGGCGGCTGTGCAGGCCAGGGCGGCTGTAACCACCCCTCCTCCAAGGGGTGCTGGCACAGGGGCAACGTGTTCGGGCCGGGCCGGTGGTCAGGCCTGGTGGCTAAGTTTCATTTTCCAGAAAAAGGAACAGCTGTGCTGAAACCTGGCTGCTCTCCAGCTGGTGCCCGCCCTTCCTGGGCAGGTGCAGCAAGTATTTATCTGAGCCTGGCCTGGCTGGGGGTGGGGGCAGGTGTGTGCCCAAGGCAGTTTTCCTAGTTGCTGGGGATAACCACTTTTCTGGCATGGGGTAGTACCCTCGGAGGTAATGTATAGTTACCCTCCCGCTTTCTCTTCCACTGGGCAGATCTTGGCTTTACGCCCACTTTATGGCAACGGGAGACTCCTCCCCGGCTCGCTCCTGCGGCCGTACGGCTGAGGTCAAGCGAAACTTGGGAGTATCTGAACCCTGAGACTCCGGGCTGGGGCCTGCACGTGGGATGACCGCCAAAGGATTCGGAAGCATCTGAAGCCCCAGGAAGGGGGGAAGATGTTTGCGGGCCAAACACGATAGGCCATGATAGACAGCCACCTAGCCGGGGTCGTTTGACCCCAGTGCTCTTTCCTGCCATGGCAGGGGGTCGGACTTGATGATCTGCTCAGGTCCCTTCCGACCCGAGCATCTATGAAACTATGAAACACGGTTCTTGAATGACTCACGGATTTGGAATTGATTTGGCTGATTTGGCTTCGAACGTGAATTTTTTTTTAGGGTAAACAGATGTGTGTTGGGGCGCAGGCCCGTGGGCCCATGTTGGGGGGTTGAGGGGAAGCTTTTCCCTCAGGGGCTGGCACTGGCCATCCCCACTGACCAGGTGTAGCAGCCTGTGGGCAGGGAGAGCCAATGCCCGGGGGGCTGCTGCATGTGATGGCCTGGCAAGCCGGGGGCAGGCAGGGATAGGGCGCTGCCCCCGGGCACTGGCCCTGGTAGCAGGGGCTGGTCACCACCTAGCTCACAATGAGCAGGCTGGCACGTCCCATGGCTTATCCCTATCTCTGAGCTGTGGGTGACCACTGGTGCTGAGCCGCCTTGAGCCAACACTCACAGTCCCACTTCCAGCCCCCTTGCTCGCAGCAATGGGTGGTTCCTGGAGCTGGGCTGAGCCCGAGATCAGTCTTGCACAAGCAGAGGCTGCCTGCCAGAAACAGACATCGTGGAGCACAGGCGGCAGTCGCCTCCCGGCTCAGCACCACTGGAGGTGCCCATGTCCCGCACTACAGCCAGGTATGTTCTGTGGCACTTGTGTTTCTCTGTCCCCAGCTTAGTGCCACAGGCCGCAGGATTGATTTCACTCTTTCAGTGCCGTGGGTGTGGGACAAGCAGCATGCCAGCGGAGGTGGTGGGAAAGGGCTGGGAAGGCAGAGCTTGTGGCTGCCTCATCCCCACCCTGGCACAGCCTTGGTCACCCCTCCTGCCCCAGCCGTGTGGGGCTGGCCGAGCTGGGGCCCCATGGGCACTGGGGTGTCAGCTCCCCTCTTGGTAGCGGGTGCAGGGAGAGGCTCTGAGCCCGGAGCTGCAGTCTGTTTCCTCTGCATCTCCCAGCAGAGCGAGCAGCACGGGCTGCAGTGCAAACAGCTCTCAGCTGCCCCGGTGGGGGCTCGGGGCTGTGGCCGGAGAGTGGAAGGAGGGAGGTTCCCTGCAGGACTGGAGCTGCCTGGTGCCCCGGATGGCCCTGGACGGGCGCACCTGCAGAACCAGGCAGCATGTGCACAAGCCAGTGCGCTGCTCCTCTCCATCATCCTGGAGGTCCCAGCAGCACCCCAGAGCCAGGAGACACACTTGCAGGGCGTGAGATCTGCTGAGGAGCGCTGAGCACACCCCGCTCCAACAGGCAGGGGAGCTGGGCCTCATGCGGCAATCCCTGCGCCAGCCCTGGTGGGGTCGTGTCCTGCAAGGGGTCAGGGCTGCAGGCACCTGCTCATGGGGGAGGGGGCTCAGGGAGGGCTCAGTGGCAAGCAGGGGGCTCTGGCATGTTCACTGGGCAGGTGGAACCACGCGTACTCCCACCGCACCCTGGCATCCAGACGCCTTCCCGCCAGCATGGAGAATGGGTACGCGGGACGCAGGAACTACGTGGGACACGGGGGCCCTGGAGTGGTGAGCATGAGTCCCCCCTGTGCCCCACTGGCCCTGCAGGATGAGTGCCATGGCAGGGCCAGCCCCATCCCAGGAAGGTGCCATGGGTGCTGGCTAGGCTGTAACCTGCCTGCCAGCGCAGGGGGCTCTGCAGCTGCTCCCCAAGCATTGTGGTGCTGCTGCATCTGTATCCCCGTGCCAGAGTGTTGCAGCACAGGTCAGTGGGGCACGTGCTGCCCGGTGTGTGGGGCTTTGGCTGCTGCGACCTCCTGGGGACAGCCTCCGTCCCCTGCCCGCCATGAGAATGCTCCTCTTGTTCCTCGCACCAGACCTGCACTCCCCCCTGCTGCAGCCCGAGGCCATGTCTCCATCCCTGTCCCCAACCTCTCTGGTTCCCAAAGCCTTCAGCCTTCCCTCCCACAAAGTCAGCCACAAAAGCAGGCCCGGCTGCTCAGGACCGACTCTCGCCGCTCCCTGCTCTTTCCTGCAGGACGCGGCCCCTGTTGCTGGAGCCAGGCAGAGTGCCCTGAGGTGAGCGTGGCATTGGTTTTCCTGCAGCTGATACTGAAGCCACAACACCCACCAGGAGCAACCAGCCTTCTCCCCGCTCCCCGAGCAGCCAACAGCTCTGCTGCAGATGCCTGGGAAAGGGTAGAGCAGCGGGGAGGCAGGCTGCTCTTTGGGGCTGTCCCTGCTCGCTGGCAGAGGCAGCAAGCTGGAAAGGCCAGGGTCCAGCTCCCCCGAGATGCCCTCCCCACCCCAGGGCCCCATCACCCTCCCCACCCCAGCCAGGGCAGGTCAGGAGCAGGGGTGAGGGGGGCAGTGCCTCTGCCCACACCCCAGGGCCCCTGCCCAGGCCTGCTGCAGATTTGCTCTCCAGGGATGCCACAGGTTGCTACACCCCAGCACCCACAGGAGAGCTAGCTGGTGCGGTCCCAGTGCATCCCAGTGTCCTTCCCTCAGGCCGACGCTCCTGGTGAGATGCACCTTCCAGCTCAGCTCCTGTTCTCTAGGGTCCATGAGCTTCTGCCCTCCCCAGGACAGGCCTTGGCTCAGCCCCATGTCGGGTGGGAGTGCTGCGGTCACGGGGCAAGAGGGTGCCCCGCTGGAGGCCCCCCATGCTGCAGCATTTGGGTTCTTTGAAGATGGGAGAAGGAGGAGCGAGACAGAGGTTTTCTAGTGACCAGCGGGAACATCTTCATCCGCTGGTTCCTGGGCTTGCTGTGTAGAACAGAGGGGTCCAAAGACACCAAGAGGAGTTACCTGGAGAAGGTGAGCACCGTCGCCACAAAGTGCCACAACCTGAACCCAGGGGAGCCAAATACAAGGAATGTGCAGAACAGGGATGAACAAGGCACCAACGTGTCTGGGTGGGGCAGACTGAGGGGAGCCCGCTGGGGAGGGGGGCCGGGTTGGGCAGTGGTGCATGGAGGTGGGCAAGGGGCAGAGGGAGGGCAAGGACCTGTCGGACTGCCTTGGCCTGGAGGCCCCTTTCTTGTGACTGCATCTCTGCATTGGCCCTCCCCAGAGGGGCTGCAAGTGGAGAGGGGCAGGGAGCACCTCCGAGCCCACCCTAATCCGCCTGCTCTGGCCAGGTGCTGCATGCAGTGTTCTTCTTTGGACAAATCCACGTGCTCCCCATTGAGCCAGAGGAGTTCATAGCTGAGGAACATCAGCAGAGACTGAAGAGCCAATACCCAGCTCCATTTGAACAGTGCCGCTCCCACCTTCCCACAAAGACACCGTGCTCCATCGCCCTCGACTATGTACGTATGCCCCCAGCCTCCCACTGGAGCCAGCCTGGGGGCTTGGGGTGCCAGAGGGCAGGGAGGGTGCTAGGCAGGGCCTGTGGGAGCTGTAGGGACCTGACAGCAGCCCTGCAGAGAGCAGATTCGTGGCCATCCCAGCAGCATAGGAATGGTCAAAGCCAGGGCTCCATCAGGTCTGGGCACAGCTGCTGCTGAGGAAGGTGCAGGAAATCTCCAGACAGATAATTAAAGGTCAAGCTGCCCAGATGGCAGAGGGAGGCTGCGGAGCAGCTTTAGCCAGCGGGCTCCTTGTAAACCACCGACCTATGCACAGGTGACAGAGACCTTCTCCTCCACGCTGCAGAGAATGGACCAGTACCTGGAGGAGTGCAATAGGAACCTGTGGCAGCACGTGCAGGAGACGCAGCTGAAAGCTGGTGAATTCGCCTTCTGTGCTGCGGTCGTCGCTAGGAGCTTCTATAAAGATCTCAGGAGCAAAGCCAGGTTGCAGCCATTCTATGGAGCTTCCCTCTCTTGCAAGGGGTGGGCACAGCGGAGAATCATGATCGACGTGTCCTGTCTGGAGACGTGGCCCCGAGCCGTGGCCTACGCAGTGTACCATGGGGGCACAGGCAAGGCCATCATCTTCCCCGACGGGGTGTGGAGTAAGGCCATGCGGTTTGACCATCAATTTCTCCAGTATCAGGAGAAGCCACCCTGCAGGAAATGCCACCAGATGTTTCAGAAGGTGAACTTCAGACCCTGTCCCAGAGGTCACCGCCCGGAGAAGTGGCAGTATGGGAACTGCGCGGAGACCGAGGCCTTCAGCAAGCTCCTGCAGGGGAGCAGGGCAGCGAGCGAGGGCATCCGGTCCAGCGCCAATGAGAACATCGAGGCGTTTGGCAACGTCACCGAGACAGTGATCAGAGCCAGAGTCATTGAGGAGCTGAGGAGAAGGAATTTTGAAGTCGCCAACTTACAGGTTTTTAAGCCTGTCTGAGTGCCCAGTGGGACGGCTGTGGCCAGTGTCCCCTGCTGCTCCCGCAGCCTCCCAGCTCTGTGCTGCCCCTGCAGAAACCCCTCACAGCGTCTCCTAGTGGGACATCTCCCTGGCGCCTGGCCTGAGTTTACCAGAGCACTGGCCTGCAGCAACCGTGGCAAACAAGGAGTGGCTGAGCTCCCTGCAGAAGCCCTTGGGCAGCCTGTCACGCCAGGGCTGGAGGCCGAGCTCTCTCCAGAGTCTGCCAGCATCCATGGGAGCCCCCCAGTGACATGCAGCCCTTCCTGCCTGCAGCCCTACAGCCATCCCCCACAAGAGGAAGCGTCTCCAGCCCCAGCCAGTCCATCCCCCAGTATCAGGCAGAGCGGCTTCCTGCTGCCCAGGCTCCAGCACCTGTTCCAGCTGCTTCCCGAAACAGACACCACCCTGCCGCCCCCTCCCCATGTGCAGCCTTCTCTGGGAACTCCCTCACCAGCATCACCCAGGACGCTCTT